GGTTTGCAAAGAATACTCCCACCTCTTTGCCTCTTCAAGTTAAGTTTACCCTTTAAGATGTAGCTCTCATGCTACTTTCAAACCGTTCTTCCCTTTCCTTAACTCCCATTATACCTTACTTAATCTACTGCTTTAACACTAAATCATCTCAATTGTTTAATATTTCCTAGTTTTACTTCCCCACTGTACCATAACCTTCTTGAACGCTTGGACCATGAATTACATTTCTCTTGTGTTCACAGCACCTAAGAATTTTTTATACTTAAGGTGCAGATTGACCGATAAACTATTGGATATGTTATTTTTCTTTAGAAATCAGTGGTTAGAATCTCAGGAATAAATGAAAACTGGGCAAATTGTTGCTCATCAGGGCCTAGCTCTTTGGGTAATTCTGTTCCCACCTTACTGATTTAAAAACAAATATGGCAAGAAAGAAGGGGAAATGATATCAATGAGTGTGTTATAAAGACACATTTTGTACCACCTCCTGAAGATATCTTTTGGGGCCTTTGGAGGAGCCTGATAACCGCTCCCCATTTTAAAAAGTAGGTTTTATTATTATCCAGGTATGGTGAGACCAGGAGATCAGGAGACAGACGCCATTGACAAGATAGTTTTTACTTACCGTCTTCAAGAAGAGGGGCATGCTTCACCACATAGGGCCATACAGGGAAGCATCAGGATCAATCAGGAGATGGGGGTGGTCAAGGGGAAGGCATGGGCAAAAGCGTTTATTGTGGTTTCCATAGTAAAGGCAAGGCAGAGTAAGCATGCTTAGGATTGGCTAGTCTGAATAATTTCAGCAGGCTCTGGGATGCAGGGACTGTCTCCAGTTATCTAGTACCTGGCGCTGGGTTGATTAGGGCAGGGGAATATTGACTTGGTGTGTGAGAGTTTGATAAAGAAGGTGGTTGAAGGATGCATGTGGGTTCTGGATTGGCCCGTTTGTATATGAAAGGTTCAGGGGATTTGTTAGCTCTTGGACAATTAGCTAGCCCTGAGAGGAGCAGTCTCTCCCCAGTCAGTGAAGCCCCAGGTGGCAGAGCATCAAGAATATGGAAGATAAGGGGGGGACGAGGACCCACTGCACCCTAGACGGCCAGGGACCATGGGCAGTGCCTGGGATCCCCACCTTGAAGGGAATTGTTCCTGAGTGGTGCCTTGGGCTTTGCCAGCCTGGATTTATGGGGTGAGCTTCCCTCCTGGAGCCTTGTGAGGATTTAGCCCTCCTTTTTGATTGTGGTTACTTAAAAAACAAAAAATTTCATTGCAACCACCTATAAATCGTATTTAACAAATTGCAGAAATGAAGATACAGAGGACTGCCACCCACTGAGCTAGGCATAGACACCAAATGTCTTGGTTCCCATTCTTTAGTTTTAGAGGCGTGTGCCTACATGTTTAGGGGTGAAATAATGTGATATCTAGAATTTGCTTCAGAATAATGGAGAGTGGGAGGTACAAAGGAAACAAGATTGGCCATGAGTGATGACTGTTTAAGCTGTGTGGTAGTTCTCATTGCTATCCTCAGTACTTTGTACATGTTAGAAATTTTCCATAATAAAACTTAAAAAAAAAAAGAATACAAAAAACATAGTTACTACACTCCCCTCTTTCCCACCTGGGTTCAGAACAATTGAGCAATAAGACAAAGCAGAGGCAGATGGTAGTCCAAATATCCCCTCTTTTACTGATAAAGCCTACCTTGGAGAATATATCTTTACATGAGAGTCAAATGGGCCTCCTAACTCCATTCGGAATTAGACTTACTCATATAGTCATAGCAGTATTGGACCAGGACAGCTTTTCCAGCTGGGAAGGATTTTATGTCATGAGTAACAGAGAAGAAATTGTGCTTACTATAAGCAAGTTTACTCCCAAGAGGGGCAAGATAAATAAGGCCCGGAGCTGAGTTGAGCACGCCCAGTTTATTCCTCCCAGATGTTCCAATCAGATGAGACACCCCACCTTCCCCAGGCAGAGGAGTAGAGAAAGTCAAGGGGTATTGCTTGACTGAACTCCCTTTTCATAGATGGACAGGTCAAGAGCGGGAAAGAAACATTACCTCGCACCAAAAAACATTGATTTTTCTGGAGATTTTAGTAAGATAATGGAATTCTGCCACTTCCCTAGCCATGATTCCAGCTTGTAAGTTTTCATTTCTTCATCTTCATCTATTGGATGGCTCTAATTCTGCAAAAGAAATTCTTCTATCTTCAGAACTTCAGTTTTCTGCTGTATGACATCATACTCTTATTCTGCCTTTGGCTGAAGGTAAAAAGGCTTTTTTTTTTTTTTTCTCTCTGAAAAGACATTAAATCTGAACATGGACATCACATCCACCACAGATACTTCCTTCTTCTGCAGCCTGATGCCTCCTCCCACCAAGATTTTTTATGTCCATCCAAAATATTGCAAGCTTGTTTACAACATATTTTTTATTAAGGCACACTTTTAGTAAAACGCTGATATAAAACTTATGGTATAAAATTTTGTAGAAAAATTAGAAAATTCAGTCATGCAAAATGAAGAAGATAAATGAGCTCATATTCTTCGGGGGAACCAGATATTTTAGCAACTAATTACAAAGGAGTGTGAGGCACTCAGTAACAGAGGAAGGAGAGCTCTGAGATCATAGGGGAAGGAGTGATTGTGGGTGATAAGGTGAGGGGATGGGTGGGGACTTATAGGACATAACTGGAAAGATTGCCTGTGGCCCACTGGGAAGGATGTTATATGTTATGTTAAAGAACTTAGACTTTATTCAATAGGCAGTGGAACGTCACTGCAGGATTTGAATCAGAAGAGCAACATAATTCACTTTAAAAAAAAAGTATTTATTTATTTATTTACTTATTTTTGGCTGCATCAGGTCTTAGTTGCGGCATGCGGGATCTTTCCTTGCGGCACGCAGTCTCCAGAGCGTGTGGGCTGTGTAGCTGTGGCACGTGGGCTCTCTAGTTGTGGCTTGTGTGCTCAGTAGCTGCGGTGCACAGGTTTAGTTGCCCTGCAGCATGTGGGATCTTAGTTCTCCAACCAGGGATTGAACCTGCGTCCCCTGCATTGGAAGGCGGCTTCTTAACCACTGGACCACCAGGGAAGTCCCTACTCAATTCACTTTTTTTTTTTTTTTTTCTAGTACACGGGCCTCTCACTGCTGTGGCCTCTCCCGTTGCGGAGCACAGGCTCCGGACGCGCAGGCTCAGCGGCCATGGCTCACGGGCCCAGCCGCTCCGCGGCATGTGGGATCTTCCCGGACCAGGGCACAAACCCGTGCCCCCTGCATCGGCAGGCGGACTCTCAACCACTGCGTCACCAGGGAAGCCCCTCAATTCACTTTTGAAAAAAGAAAACTATTTATTGAGAAAAGAATCATTTGAAGTCTCTCATATACCTGTGGCACTCTCGTATGTGAGGGAAATCTGGAGGCTAGCAGATAAGTTAGGAAGTGTTGCAATAGACCAGATTCTTGACCTCAGCCAAGCCCTGCCCCCAATAATTTTTATGTCAGCCTATTTATTAGCAAGTAAAGTACATACAAGGATTCATTTGGCATAGAGCATAGAGTACAATAAAAGAAACTAAAGCCAAACCTTAATTATATATACATATTAAGTTAGTTATGCTTACAGTGTGGGTATATATTAAATCAGAGAGGATTTGTTCTTTGAGAGGATTTCTGTCACTCCTACTTTCTTTTTTCTGTTTAAACGTGAAGATAAAGGTACTGTTATTTGCCTTCTTAGCAGCAAACTCCCCCCATCCCCACCTAGCTTAGAGTGTTTAGTTTTCTTCTTGGTAAGAGGGGCCTGATAAATTTAGGCGAAAATAAAAATTCTGATTGTGGGCTTCCCTGGTGGCGCAGTGGTTGAGAGTCCGCCTGCCGATGCAGGGGACACGGGTTCTTGCCCCGGTCCAGGAAGATCCCACATGCCGCGGAGCGGCTGGGCCCATGAGCCATGGCCGCTGAGCCTGCGCGTCCGGAGCCTGTGCTCCGCAACAGGAGAGACCACAACAGTGAGAGGCCCGCGTACCGAAAAAAAAAAAAAAAAAAAAAAATTATGATTGTATTTCAGGATTATGAAGATGATATTAATTAGTCTAAGCCTGTCCAGGTAATTCTATATCTGTTGTCTACTGTTAGTTTAGAAATGGGAATGTGAAGCACTATGGGAAGTCTGCTGGGTGGCTTCCAGGAAAAGTGTTCCTACTGAAGAAAAGAGACCCGTATAGGAGGAAACAGGCTTTCTTTGCTGAATTTGTTGTATCTGGGTGTGATGCCTTGAACTGTGGCAGCCATCTTACGATTGTGAGGGATTAAGCTAGCATACTGAAAATAGCAGATCCCAAGGATGGGAAGGACTGGGTTGATAATCTGGAGGTGATGTAGCTTGGAACTTCATGGTTTTTTAGATAGTAAATGTCCTTATTATTTAAGCTAGTTTTAGTTGGGTGTTCTGTTCATATCACTGAGAGCAGTCTACCTAATATAGGCTCTCAGAGAGAAAGATACAATGAGACATGTATCTATCATCAGTAAAGGGATTCATATGTGTATGTTCTGTGTTGTTTCTAAAGCAGTGCTTTTCAAATTTTAACGTACCTATCAAACACCTGGGCCTGTTGTTTAAATGCAAATTCAGTAGGTGCGGCCTGAAATACTCCATTTCTAAGAAGCTCCCAGGATTTGTCCATGGTGCTGGAATAGGGTCCACACCTTTGAGCAGCAAATGTAGACCACAGCTATAGCTCATTAAAGGTTAGATAGATGGGAAACCTCCAAGTGACTGACGGGATTTTTAAAGGGAGAGCCAGGAGTCAGGATGAGGTACAATAGTGACTGCTAATTCAAACAGATTAGCCCAATATTATTCCTTATTAATACTGATAATTTCAGAAAAGGTAAGGGGCAGATAGGTGCCAGGGGCAGACAGAAACCAGGACAAGATCTTAGAGACTGCCTCTGCAGAGAAGAAGGAAGCAGAAAGTGCCTTTCTTACTTGTAGGAGGTGCTCAGACAAAGCACAAATTCTTGGTACTAGCAGGTCTTTTAGATGACTGTTATAGGCCTTTTGCCTGAAAATATTGCGGTACTCCCATCTTCACCACCATAGGTAATTTAAACCACCACCACCAAGATAACCTGTAAAATAAGTGTAAGGAAGTGCAAATTTTGATTTTCCTCCACAATGACTACTCTGACACTTTTTTGGGGTGTGATATTGGGGGGGGGAAGTAATAGATATGTTACTCTTCTTAAATTTTTGGTGGGGGTACATTTGCTTGACTGGTACCCTAAGCATGCGTGGGTATATGCCAATAGGGTCGGTTGGCCCTGGATTTCTGGACAGGGAAGCATGGAATAATGTCAGTTCAAATGATTCTTTTAACTTGAAATGTTTCCCAACAGCAACAAAAAAATGATTTAGAGCTTAGAGGATGGGAAAACTTATTTGCAGGGCTACTTTAGTGCTTCTGGAAAGAAGTAGTGACTCCTAGCAGTACGGTAAATAATCTATGACTTATTTTCCCAAGTTTGAGAATAACTATTGAGAGCATTAAAATAATGTGTACACAAAGATTGCAACTGGAAGTGGCTCCTGGGATTAAGAAGATAAAGATTCTCTAGAGGGAAAAAGAGATCATTACAGGAGTCATATCTTTAGTTCCACAGTGGAGAGTATGGTCATTATTTAAAGACAAATTATGATATTCTTAGCCTAAATCCAGGTATTAGAACAAAGAATACAAAGGCAAAACTAGCTAGTTCTCAGTCAAAGACAGTACTTATAAAGAGCAGACTTAATAGAGGGATTCCAAGAAGAAAAACTGTAAACCCCAGAATGATAATGATTACAAGGGGACCCTGATATTAAGCTGAGGAAGTCCCTAGCTGCTGTCCCCTTTTTCCATGAGGTGCTTAGATCAATAGCAATTTGAATCTTTGTTGATATAAAAACAAGATATTTAAACATAAAGAGTAAGAAATAGTTTATCTCCATAAACATATTTCTTGAGCAATCTAGTCTCTTGCTTTTCGTAAGTAAAGTATACATACCTTTTCTCGCCCACCTAGAAGGTCAAATTACTGTAAATAACAATTATTTGCAAGGTTTCCAAAAGTAAAAGGACTTCATGAAACTGATGTAAGAATAAAAAAGATCAACTTCAATAGAGGCAGTAGATCCAGTGGTTAATAGTATTTTGGGCTTTGTCCACTTGCTTTCAAATCTGGGCTTTACCATATAGGAGCTGCATGCTTTGATAGCATTACTTAAAGTCTTTAAATTTCATCTGTTAAAAAAAAAAACAGGAATTACAATACTATTTTAAGTACTAAGTTAAGGGCAATGATGTATGTAGTGTTTAGCACAGTGCCTGGCACCTGTAAATTCCTGTACTCAATCCATAAACTGGTTTTAGAAAATCTTCACATGCCAGACACTGTGCTGGATGTTGGGGTTATGGTCTTGAACAAAACAGATCAATATATGCATCTCACCCTCAAAGAACTTAAGAGTCTAGTAGGGAAAGCAACTGGTTAAAAGGTAAACCAACATAATATTTAAGTGCCAACTTTCCGTGAGATATCCACTTGGGGAACATGAGGCGAATAGAAATATGATTAACAGGTGAATAGGCCTGCTGATTTCTAAGCCTTTATTTATAAACATTTATTCATTATGAAACAACCCTGAGAATAATGAAGACGTAACTTTGTTGGTAGGACTGGGAAAACCAAGGGATGCTTAGTATGTTTTGGTTATTAATTCTTGGAGGTTAATTGACCTTGGGATGAAGACATTCCCAAACTTTCAGCCCAAAGGGCTCTATTGTTTGGGAAGATTTCTATAGGAGAAACTCATTGCAAAGAAGTTAGGAAGAGGAAGTCTTAAGAAAAGTGTTTTAAAACAAGGTCAAAAATGTATTCTGAAGAGAAAACATTTATTAAGCTGATATACTAGGCATTTCTTGCTCTTTATCTCATTTATTTCTCCCAATGGCCCTGTAGGAAGGGTAATATTACATCCATTTTAGAAACAATACAGTCGACACCTCAAGTAACTTTTTTAAACAGGTCACACTTACTTACTGGCAAAGTGAAAATGAGAAGTCCATGTTTCCACAAGCTTCTAGCTGCCTTTAGCTCAGTGCAAGAGACATAGGTGGCAACCAACACATTTGCTGGAAAGAATGAATGAATAAATGTACTTTAGCTCTGCTATTTATGTGTCCCTGGGTAAGACAATTTTGCTGAGTCTGCCTTCATTTCTTAAAGGAATATAACAAGACTTACTTCACAGAGTTGAGGTAAGGAACAAATAAGGGGATACAATAGGGAAAAACAATTAAAATATAAAATATTAAACGTTAGCATGATATATGTCACAAATTATGACATGTATAATTTGTGTGTGCATATGAAAACAGCATTGGTAACAGTTAATATTATGAGAATTTATATATAACTTCCAAACACCAGACTCTAAGAAAAAAGGTACTGGATAGAAAAGTTGGAAGAACAGGCAAGGAATTGATATATTGTGTCTGGGACAGGGATATTGGTGGTTAGGGACAGGGTAAAGAAACTTTACATTTGTAACCCTTTGCATTTTCCTTTTGAATTTTGAACCATGTATTACTGCATTACTATTCAAAAAATAAATAACTTTAAACTTTATAAAAACATTGTATTAAAATGTAACATTAACACAGAATAACCACAGTACTTTTTTTAGCATTGCCTTATTTCAATTATTAATTTAAATTATGAAAATGAAGCCACTTCATTTATTTTTGAGAATTTAAATATTTTATTATATAAAGTTATACCCAGAATTGTGCTTCATTTTTTCACTGTATACTTTAACTCAAGGACATTTGTAAAAGCAGTACATTTTAGAAATCCTGAAAGAAATTCCACTAGATATAGGCTATTTAAATACTGCTTAGAGAAAGTATTTAAAAAAAAACGAGGGCGTACAAATGAACTTATTTACAAAACAGAAGTAGAGTCACAAATGTAGAAAACAAACTTATGGTTACCAGGGGATGGGGGGAGGGATAAATTGGGAGACTGGGACTGACATGTACACACTACTATATATAAAATAGATAACTAATAAGAACCTGCTCTGTAGCACAGGGAACTCTACTCAGTATTCTGTAATGGCCTATATGGGAAAAGAATCTTAAAAAAAAAGGAGTGCATATGTGTATAACTGATTCACTTTGCTATACTCTCAGAACTAACACATTGTAAATCAACTATACGCCAATAAAAATTTAAAAAAAAAGTATTAAAGGAAAGCCAGCACCATATAAACAGCATACACTTAAATAAAAGAGATGAATGCTTAACATACAGAGTAATGTTTTTTTTGTTTTTAAAATAAATTTATTTATTTATTTTTGGCTGTGTTGGGTCTTCGTTGCTGTGCGTGGGCTTTCTCTAGTTGCAGCAAACGAGTGGGGGCCACTCTTCGTTGCGGTGCGCGGGCTTCTCATTGTGGTGACTTCTCCTGTTGTGGAACACAGGCTCTAGGTGCATGAGTTTCAGTAGTTGTGGCACACGGGTTCAGTAGTTGTGGCTTGCGGGCTCTAGAGCGCAGGCTCAGTAGTTGTGGCGCACAGGCTTAGTTGCTCCGCGGCATGTGGGATCTTCCCGGACTAGGGCTCGAACCTGTGTCCCCAGGGGGATGCTTAACCACTGTGCCACCAGGGAAGCCCCAGAGTAATGTTTTTTATTCACTGATAAACTAAAGGTCCATTTCAAGATGTCTCTCTTGTATACTTCATTTGTTTTATTAGCAAGCAAAACCCTATAAGGAATGGCTTCATCTAGTCCTCAGACTCGGATCCATCTTCATCTTGACTAATCTGGAAGTAACGAAGTTCGTAAATCTCCTTGTCAGATGCAACCACACGAAGACAATCACGAAGATTTTTCTTTTTAAGGTACTTCTTGGTAAGGTATTTCAAATACCTTTTAGAGAACTGTTTCTCAGAAACAACTAACTTTATTCTTGAAGTGTTCAATGTGAACGACATTCCCAAGATTTCCAGTTTTTCCATTCACTTTAACCTTCTCCCGTATAAACTGTTCAAAATTTCCAGAATTAAAAATTCCATCTTCTACTGAATGAGTAAGGTCCAAATTAAACTTCCAGGTTGACTTCTTAGGCTTCTTGTCTTTCTTCGGCGCCATCCTGAAGGCCCGCCGCGCGATCAGAGAGCCACTTCATTTTCAATATGATTATATCTTTTTAACAGAATCCGTGGTCCCTGAGCAAGTTTAATTCTCCTGAATAAAGCAATCTTCTTTTACCATTATTTTGAAAGACTATTTTGCTGGATGGTAGATTAAATTGAGTGAAACGAATTATTTTCTAATAATAACATCAAATGCAGGTAGGGCAGAGGTTTTATCCACGAGCCCAGAGAGAAATGGGGAAAATGAACGCAGGTAAATAAGAGTTAGTGGTTAAGTCTGACATTGCTATGGGCCACCGTTTGATGTTAGTGCTGCACCGCGTTACGGCTCCTTTGCGCTTTGGTGGTCTTCCAAAGTGCGAGTACTAGCCAGAGTTAGGTTCCTGAATGTTTCCCGATCTGCTGCCATGACCAGTCCAGGGCTTGGGTTAGGGCTTTCGCTGGCCCCTAAACACTGAAAAGATGACAGTGTCCCTCTACATTTATGCAATTAAAAATAGAAATTCACTTAAGAAATTCATTAAAACAACTTAGGGCGAATGCAAGACCTTCCTTCTAGACTTTCTGAAATAAAAGTTCCTATTAAATTCATCAAAGCTGAACTTTTTTTCTGCATTTCTCCTTTGCTAATGTGTTAGCCTTAGTTCAGCGGCCTGTTCCACCACCCAGCACTCACCGGCTCTCAAGCCCGAACCACGCGGCTGCTCGCAGGTGCCACCCCCAACCTGCCAGGAATCTCCTCCTTCGCCCCACCCATCTGGCCCTTGCCCCCGCCTACTTCACGCGTTGTTGTGACATCAGCGCGCCGTCGCCAAAGGCCGGCAACAAATGAGCGCAGGTGGCTGCGGCCCTTCGTCGTACTCTCGAATGCGCAAGCGCGGTCGTTCCGGGTGCTCGAAAGACCTGGCGGAGCCAGGCGCTGATGGAGGCCTGAGGGCGGCGGGGGCGGGGCGCGCCGCGAGCTGGGGGCATGTCCACGGCGGGCGCCGTCTAGAGGAGGGCCGAGCAGCCGCCACCACGCTTTCAGTCGCGGCGAGACGCAAGCGAGCCAGGCCGAGGGCCGCGGCGGCGATGCAGCGACGGCGGCGCCCTCCGCCGCCAGTCTCTCAGCTGCCCGAGGGCTGCGGGGGAGGCGGCGGCAGCCGCGGAGGAGGCGGCGGGAGCGAGGAGGTGGAAGTGCAGTTCTCCGCCGGGCGTTTGGGCTCCGCCGCGGCGGTTTCGGCGGCGGCGGCCACGCGCAGCACAGAGGAAGAGGAGGAGAGACTCGAGCGCGAGCATTTCTGGAAGATCATTAATGCCTTCCGCTACTATGGGTAAGGAGCCCGTGGCGGACCCCCGCTCGGCCCGTAGGCGCGCTCGCTGCTTGCGGCTGACCCGTCCGCACCGTGGCGCACGCCGCGCTCGCCCTCCGGTCGCCACGCCTCCGGGGCGTCGGAACCGGGCCGCCTGAGCTGACCTCCGCGCCCCCGAGTCATCTCGCACCACCTTAGCCCCTCCCGGCGCTGCACTCTCGCGTGTCTGCCGCGCCGTCTGTTGCTCAGCCTCTTGTCTTCTGATCTCTGGATCAGATTAGCCCTCTTGCCTTTCATTCCTCGTTAAAGGTTTGGCTTGAGGCGGGTGAGGGTGACCGGAAAAGTGCTGTAAGAATTTCAGATAGAAGATGGTGGTGGTAAAATCGTCCAGTGCTGGGCATGATTTGTATGTATTGTCGCTGTCCTGCAAACTGAACAGACGGAGAGCCCAAGTTCACCTACACGTGGGATGCCGTAGGATGTTTTTTTCTCAAACTGTTGTAAGTTCTTGTGAGAGCAGCATTAAGATTTCCGCCCCTCACACCCCCCCCCCCCCCCACCCTTGGCGCTGCGAAAACACAGCACTTTTGTGATGAGCGAGTGAATGATGCTGCTGCTCAGTGCCTTTAACTGGTGGGTGAAATTAAGATCGAAGATGGTCCGGATGTTCTAAAATTTGCAGAGTTTTTAAGGGGGAAATGAGGGAAAGCACTGTAGGAGCCGCTTTTATGATTTTTTTTCTGCAAATATTTATCGAATTCTCACTGTGGGCTGGGCACAGTGGTAGGACTTTTAAACTTCCTAACTTTCATTTTTCTTGTAGATAAATCGTAAAGTAGCTTAGTCACAAAATTATAATTCCAAGATCTGAAAGGGACTTAAAACAATTGGATTTTCAGGTAAAGAAAGCACTTTTATTCGTGTGAGAGATGAGTACACCGACGGCGATGTTCTGAGTCTGCAGTTGGAATCAGATAGATGTGACCTCCTACTGAAGTAAAACTGTTCCCTTAGATGGGCTCCTGCTGTGCTTTATGCAAATTTTTAAATATTGCTTGACTGACCTCCTCAAGGGCAGGGACTGTGAGCCTTATTTATTTTTACGTTGCCAGTGCTTGGCATGTTGTTGGAGCTCTATTTTTAACAAATAAGACAAGTAGTAGCAAAGAAGTACATTTGTCATTCCCAAATAGTTTGTCAATTTGTAACTGATGGTTAAACTAGTTTGTTACTATTCTGAATTTTAAAACTTGCTTAATGAAAGCTTAAAGTTACTTCAGACTCTGATTAAATTGGTGACATGAAGTTTTGAAGTTGAGAGATCTTGATGAAATAATTTACTAATTAAACTCGGGCATAGGAGCCATGGATTGCATTACTTATGGAGCTCAAAAGGGAATTAGTAACATGGGGATTTGATTTAGTATCAACGGAGTGAGGAAGGCAGACAACTGGAGCATTGAACTTGTTACAAGTATTGTGTCTGGAAGAACCATGCAGCGAGGGGAAGAAGCTGACAATAGATAGCCAGAAGTGTTAGCTGCAGAGAAGTCTGGTATATTTTACTGTTGAAAAATGTAGAAAGAATACTGGGAAATGTCTTGGGACTATTGTGGACTCAGTTAAAATGTGTGTTTGTACGCAGTTCTAATATATTGGGACTAATTTAAAATTGATATTTATGATTGAGTATCAGCTGGGCCTTTTTGTGGGGGAGGGCAGGGGATTTTGACCTGAAACTAGGACCTAAGTGTGGCAATATAGAAAAGGGCACTGTGTGCACGTTCTGGTGGTTGTGATACAATTTCCTATACTCTCCTCCCTCTTCTTTACCAGTTCAGTGTGGGACTGAGGAAAATTTCATTTTTAACAACAATCCTTTTTATTTGCATGTACTCTCTTAATGAAAAAATTGAAATCCCTGTACTGAAAATAGTATACAATTAAAAGTATGTTTAGGGGTATGGGAAGGATTGTGTAGCAGAAAACACTGGATTATTACATTCCAACATTTTATAATCTTCTAGACCTGTACTGTCCAATACCATAGCCACTAATCACATCTGGCTGCATTTAAGCTTAAATTACTTAAAATTTAATAAAATTAAAAATTCCTTTCTTCAGTCTCACTAGCTACATTTCAGGTGCTCAGTAGCCACATGCGGCTATTGTCTGCTGTACTGGGCAGTGCAGATGTAAGCCTTTCCATCATTGTAGTAAGTTCTTATGAACAATTCTATTCTAGACCTTTAGCAGATGATTCCAAATTTCAGACAGTTTGGTTTTACTGCTCACTGCCTTTTTGTCAATATATAGGAGATTTAGATAAAGGTCATAAGGCAAGAAATGTCTTTTGATTAATATTTTCTCTTTCCAAGAGAAAAACAAATATATATTAACGCATATATGTGGAACCTAGAAAAATGGTACAGATGAACCGGTTTGCAGGGCAGAAATAGAGACACAGATGCAGAGAACAAACGTATGGACACCAAGTGGGGAAAGCAGCAGGGGGGAGTGGTGGTGAGGGGATGAATTGGGAGATTGGGATTGACATGTATACATTAATATGTATTAAATGGATAACTAATAAGAACCTGCTGTGTAAAAAAATAAAATTCAAAATTCAAAAAAAAAGAATTCTCTTTCCAGTGGCTTCCAGTCCTGTACTTTCTACAGATTTTGCTTAGATGACATATTCTGACTGAGGTAAAAATGATGATAGCATTGTACTGAATAGCAAAAAATGTTAGCCTTAAAATACTGCTCTTGTTATGAATGGAGATACCTACTCACAGAAGAAATACTACATTTGAAATATCAAACGTCATCAGAAATGTCCTACTTTTAGAAATAGCAGTTAGGTGAGATCTTAAAAACTGAGATGTAGAGCGCATTTTTACAGGTGAGGGGATATGGTGAGCACCTTGCCTAGGGTTATACAACCAAATTATGGTAGAGTCTGGCCTGAAATCCAAAGTCATTAACTAAAAATTTACCCTGCATTAGTAAGTAGTGGTACTAGTAAGACAATTTTAACCTTGGGCATTTAATAAATATTTTAAATGGATTGAGACAGACTCTCTTCTGAAAAGGTATGCTTCCGTGTTTGGAATTCTTAGTTCAACAGGTGCAGAGGAATGGGTCTATGACCTTAGCCCTTGGCTAGATCCAGCACTGGACCCACTTTGAGTCAGAATTGGGGTCACTGCTGAGATCAGCCTTCTAGAGAGAGCTGGAGGTAGGGATACCCTTGAGGAAATGTGGCTGCTGACTCTATTCTCCTCTTAGGTGCCCAAGGATGTAGCCTCTTAATGCTGACTGAGTTCAGAACCAAGGAGAGTCTGAAGGTTGTAAAACATTCCTTTAAATTAAGGTTGGCAAACTTTCTTTAAAGAACCAGGCAATGAACATTTTAAGCTCTGAGAGCTAGGTGGTCTCTGTTAAAACTGTTCAACTGTAAGCTTGTGTGAAAGCAACCACAGACAGTATGCGAAGGAATGAGTATAGCTGTGTTCCAGTAGAACTCTTTACAAAAACAGACAAGTAGCCAGGAGGTCATAACTTGCCCACCACTGTCTTAAAACACATTGATAATGTAGGCATTTACAGAATAGTGAAATTAGCCCCAGTTTTAATAGTATAGTAAGGATTGGACTCTTCTCAACTTTGATAAGACCTCACTTATTTCAAGAGAGTATGTAGATGTATGTTATGGACAGCTTTGCATACCATTAAGTAACCAGGGGTTAAGGGATATGCTGCATCTCATCCTGCTCTGTGTAGTTACATCACTTTCTTTGTTGTGTTTTGTTTTGGTTTGGCTTTTTGTTGTTTTTTGCTGCATTGGGTCTTTCTTGCTGCGTGCGGTCTTTCTCTGGGTGCGGCAAGCGGGGGCCACCCTTCATTGCAATGCGCAGGCTTCTCATTGCGGTGACTTCTCTTATTGCAGAGCATGGGCTCTAGGTGCGAGGGCTTCAGTAGTTGCACGCCGGCTCAGTAGTTGTGGCTTGCAGGCTCCAGAGTGCAGGCTCAGTAGTTGTGGCACACGGTCTTAATTGCTTCGCGGCATGTGGGATCTTCCCGGACCAGGGATCAAACCCGTGTCCCCTGCACTGGTCAGCGGCCTCTTTAACCACTGTGCCACCAGGGAAGCCCCATTACATCACTTTTATATGGAATTAACAGAACTTTTATATGGATTGGCTTTTCTGACCAATCCATAACTTACTCAACTCCCCTGCACTTATGGAAATAAGTAGTCTCCAAGGAGAACCAGAAGTGGTGCCGAGGGAGCATAAGTGAACATTTATTGATTGCTTTTTACATATGCTGACATATGGAGTTTAAATAGTGACAAAGATGAGTTTTTTATTTTAGAAGAATTTATCTGATTGGAGGTGGGAGGGGGTTAGGTTGGGGAAGGCATATTTAGGTAACAGGCCTCTCAGTTTATCTTTGGGTGACATAGTGAGGGCCCGAGGTAAAGCATCGGAGGAGGGGGAATATGTAGATAGTTTTATGAAGTAGAATCAAAAGTATTTCAGGCTTCTTGATTGTGTGTACTATGAGAAGAGGCATTGACTCATTAATTTCTGACTTGAGTGGATGTGTGGTGTACCATTCATCAACATCAACCATATAGGAAGATGTGCAAGTTTTTTTGGTGGGACGTGTGCTAAGTTTGGTTTGGAAATGCTGAGTTTTGAGGCATGGTGAGAGGGAGTTGGTGGGGTATCCAGTGCCCAGGAATTCTAGGAAAGGATTACTGTGAGACTATTTAACCTGTTGACAGTGAATTGTAAACTGTTGCAACTCTGCTGTTTGCCTACTTTAAATAGTTACTTAGTGTCATACTCTACTGATAGGAATGTAAATTGGTAAAATCTTTCTGAAAATCAGTTTGTATCAAGAGCTTTAAAAATACTTATCTTTCTGATCTGGTAATTCTTTTGGGAATTTGTGGTAATTTTTTTTTTTTTTTGAAAATGTAGACAGATTTTGAACACAAAATTTCACTGTATAGACAAGTGAAAGTATCGAGATGCCCAATGTTTGGGAAATAGCTAAGTAAATTTTGGTTGCCTAAGATGGGATGATGATGAGCAGCCCTTATAGTCATTTGTCATATAGATATTTGAGAACTTTTTTTCTGACCTGGGAAAATTCTTTCGATAAGGATAAAGAATTACAAGTGTTTCTAAAACTTTAATGTGCATGTGAAGCATTTGGTGATCTTGTTAAAAGGCAGATTACATTTCAGTAGGTCTTGCATGGCACCAGAGATTCTCCATTCCGAACCACTTCCAAGTGATCTGCTGTGGTCTGTACCGCATCTTGACTAGAAAGGTGTTAGATGACTTTGTCTTAAACAGAGAGAAATATGCCAGAAAGTTAAAAGTGGTTGCCTCTAGAAGAGGAATTATTAGGCATTTTTTTCCTCCTGAATACTTTTACTTTTCTTCATTTTTCGTATTTTCACTGTGTACACATTAGTTATATAAATTATGACTATGATAAAAATCATATGACTGTGATTTAGGCACTGGGCTAAGTGTGTTGTGTGCTTTATTTTGTTACACTTTCAATGAAATCCATTAAGTAGGCAGAGGAGTATAATGGTGTCTACCTCTTGGGGTTTTATGGAGATTTTTCAGAATAATTCATTTTAAGTGACTTGGTTTAGTGCCTGACATTTATTAAATCTCAATAAATCATAGCTTCTGTCATCATCATCATTGTTATGTATTTCCTTGTTTTGGTATATGAGACTGTTGAGCCACAGGGAAAGGAAGTAACTTGCCAGGGGTCACATAGCGAATAGGTAGCATAACCTGGGTTTCAATCTGGATCTGTTACACTCCAGAGCTCACTGTTGTACTGTCTCCAGGGGGGAAAAAAAGCAAACATTAGTGCAGCCACTGCCTACTTGGTTTCACATTATCCCTAACCACCCCCAGAATACCACCACACGCAATCTTCTAAAAATGTGACCAGGTTTTTGCTTCAGTTTTGTCAAGTTTCTTCAGAACCTCTTTAAATATGACTGTTCAGAAATTATACAGTAATTTGACATATGATAAAATGACAGAATTATTTGGATAAATAGAGAGACTCAGGCAACCAAATGAAAAAGAATATTTTTCATTTCCATTTAATATTGAGTAAATGCTAAAGGACATTTAAAAGAAGCATATGCATTTATGTATTTGTTTATTTGTATATGTAAAATGTAAAGAATGATGTAGTGAACGCGTACCACCGAGTTTACAAAAAGGACATTATCTTATCCTTTTCCCCTCATAGGACATCATTTTCCTGCATTTTCGTTTCCTTACTTTCCTTGTAGTTTCTCTACATATGTTTAGTCCCTACAATATGTTGCTTATTTTTATATAAGATGGAATTGTACATTATGTATTTTTCTGCAAGTTGATTTTGTCAACAAATGTTTTGTTTCTGAGTTTTATCCATATTATAGTGTGTAGCTGTATTTATTAACTGTATTCTGTGTATAACTATACTGTATTTTCTTCGTTCAGTCTACTGGTGATAGACTTTTTGGGTTGTTTCCAGATTTTTTGCTTGTTATTTCTTACAGTGCTGTGATGAGACTTATTCATGTGTCATGTGCCCGTTTGCAAGTTCCTTGAGTATGTGTCTAGGTGTATGATTGCTTGGTCATAGGGAGTCTGCATATTAAGCTTTACTAGGTAATGCTAAATTTTCTGAAGTGGTTGTACTAATTTACGCACCCACCATCAATCAGTATATAAATATTCTAAATCTTCCACACTTTTACCAGTATTTCATATAGTCAGGCTTTAAAATTTTGCCCATCTGATTGATGTAAAATGACATTTCATTTTGAGTATAATATTTAACTTTTAAAAATGATGTTCTTTTTAGGTTTTATTTCTTTAAAAAGTCCTCAAAGTGACCGTTAGAGTTATCTGGAAACTTTTGGAATACAAAGTGTGAATATCGTCATGTAAAAAGCTGTAGAATTTCAGTTTTTCATTTGTTTACTACTTTTGTGGTATATAAGATCTTTTACAATATTTTAAAAAATTCAACTTGGTTGGCTCTTAATAATTTCAAAACACATTTTGTATATATTCTAAAGTAACTTCAGAGCAGCATTCTGCTACTTGATGGAGAAATCTAAAATTTCTAAAATCAAAGCTGTTCTGCTGAAAATTTTAATTTTGGAAATTGAAATCATAAAAATAAACATGTGCATTAATCCTCTTTACGTTTCCTTTTTTCTCCCTTCTAATTGGTGCAGGTGTTTTAACTATTTGTCTTTTGTTTGGTTGCTTAGAGAGTTTGTAATAAGATGAAAATATACGAAACTTCGTAAATCGATATCCTTTAAGAAACCAAAAGATTGAAAATGGCTGGACAGTATCCAACATTATAAGGAAATAATTGTACAGGAAGAGAAACTTAAAATAAGATTGGCCTCTGGTGAGAATTCTTTGCCAATTTAAAAAACACCTTTTATGTTTTAGCACCAGTATGCATGAGCGAGTGCACCGAACAGAAAGACAATTTCGATCACTCCCAGCTAATCAGCAGAAACTACTTCCGCAGTTTCTTCTTCACTTGGACAAGATCCGGAAGTGCGTTGATCATAATCAAGAAATACTACTCACCATTGTGAATGATTGCATACATATGTTTGAAAATAAAGAATATGGAGAAGACGTATGTGCAAGTTTGTTCTATTTGTTTTTATTTTAGGGTTTGACTTCTATATTTTGAGATCTTTATCTTCCTGGATTTCATTTTTATGAAATGAAAGAGTCATTGGCTCTACTTAGAGAATGTTTTCACTTGTATGTTCAGTCATTTTATTAGGTTTAATAGAACAGTATGCCAGAAACTGGATTTGTTCACTGATTTTTTTCCCCTAAAAGTACTAAGATAATTGTGGGCATTTTGATACACTTTTCACAGTGTTCCGCCTATTGTGGCATATGGAGTTAGTGACTTACATTTTTATCAACAACTTTCCGAGCTGTGTGAAATTAATTTCCCTTGCTAAACATTATCTTCAGAATCTTGCATCTATTGATGTTCATCTTTTACTCTAAAAGATTATTTTCACTTATAAATCTCAAGGGACTGGAAGTAATAGAAACTGAAGTCCTGTTTTTGTATCCACAGGATAGGTACAGTTGGGCCACTCCAGTGTGAGCCTTTCCATGCTGCCCCATCAATGACCTGGAGTCTCTTTCTTTCCTTTCTTAGACGGAGAGAATATTTGGTCTCCATAGCAGCTCAGTTCTGGTCCTCTCTTGAGTAAAGACTGCTTAATTATATGGTGGTTTCATGATTAATGGACCATACTGTATTGAGGGTAGAAGTGAGACCACCAAACTCTTTTCATTTAGAATCTCAAGCTGCACTTGAACCCCGGTCAAGTTGAAAGGCTAGTGACCTACCCTCTAAACCATCTATAAAGCCCCTTAGTAGCATGTTTATTTAATCATATTCAAGATTGATTACTTTCTGAGAAACTAATTGATTTCTGTTTTTTAAACAGGAGAATGGAAAGATTATGCCAGCATCCACATTTGACATGGATAAGTTAAAATCCACATTGAAACAGTTTGTGAGAGACTGGAGTGAAACTGGGAAGGCAGAAAGGGATGCCTGCTACCAGCCAATCATTAAAGAAATTTTAAAAAATTTTCCAAAAGAGAGATGGTAAATAGTATCTTGTTTTTAACCAGTTTCTTTAAGATATGTAAGCACTGAGTTTCTCTAAGAGATATTTCACAGTGTTGATTCATTTTTACAAGTTGCTGTGTGACTGTATTTTTTCATGTGTGGGTGTATGCTGTTATATTTGTTCTTGGGTACTTTGTGTGAGATTGCAGTTAGTGTTTTGAATAATTATTGTTCTAGCACTATGGGAAATTACTCTATCTAGAAATTACATAATGAGAAGATTAGATTGAATGTTTATTATCAGTGACCTTTTTTTTATAATTTGCTTTATAGCAGAGCAAAAAGCTGCAAACTATTTTAATTTTCCTCATTATGGCATATTTGTAAACAAGTGAGGGATCTATAGCTCAGAGAAGAGATTCTTAACTTTTATATGCCATGAAAACCTTGAGCAGTCTGAAGCTCATAATTTTCTTTTTCAGAATAACATAAGTGAATAAAATAACATCCATAGGATTACAAAGAAACCAGTTATTTTGAAATATACTTATGAAAATACTTAAAAAGCAAATGTTATGTAACCTGCTTTTCATCATGTATCACATTAAATAAAAGTCTTGCAGGAAGTGTTAATGTATTTTGAAAATAACTGAACGGTATATGCTATTTTGAGAATCTCAACAGCTAATGTGAAGTGAATATATATATGATTTCTATTGGTGATACAGTTACAGGTACTCCTAAAACTACTATTGTTTGTTGTCTACATTCATAATTGACAAAAGAATAATCAGTTAAAGGTTAATGAAATGAAAATGTAATTTTTTTCCACCCCCTTATAGGTACAGTGAATTCTGTCTGTAGACCTCTTTGGTCCATGGATCCCAGGTTAGAAACCTGACTTACAGGTTATATATTTAAAGAGAAACACTGGGTGGAGTTCAGTCTATTGTTTTAAAGGATCATTGTAGAGAGAGAGGCTCCTTTTCCTCATCTTCTTCCTCTCCTCATTGATTGACATCTTTAAGTTTGGATGTATCCATTCAGAAATTTCCGTACATATGTGTGTGTCCCTTCTCTCCCTCTCTTTTTTGAAAACTTTTTATTTTGAAATAACTTCAAAATTACAGATAAATTGTATGAATTGTACAAAGAGCTCCCATATATATTTTTTTACCTAAATTCACCAATTCTTAGCATTGTACATTTGCTTTTTTATTTCCTTTCCTATTTCCCTTGCTTCCTCTTTCCCCCCTTTATGTGTTAGTCTGTAGCCGTACATATACATGATAATTACTTAAACTATTTGAGAGATTAGTTTCCATATATCATGCTTTTTCACTGCTTAATACTTGAGTTTTTTTCCTTAAGAACAATGATACTCTCTTACATAAGCATACAGTGCAGTTACCAGATGGAGGAAATTTAAACTTGGTTACTGCTTTCTAATCAATGGTCTATATTTAAGTTTCATAAATTATCCTAATAATGTCCTTTATGACACTTATTTTTCTGTACAGTTTAGGATCCAATCCAGGATATTGTGTTATGTTTAATTCTAATGTCTTTAATCTGGAACAGCTCCTAGGCCTTTTTTTGACTTTCATGACATTAACATTTTTGAAGAATACAAGTAAGTTATTTTATAGACTCTTCCTCAGTTTGTCATTGTCTGATGTTTCTTCATGATTAGATCTAGATTATATGTCCTCTCGCAAAATAATAGATAATTGATGTTGTATCCTTTTCAGGATATCACCTTCAGAGACGTGCAAAGTCTGTTAGCCCATCATTGATGATTCTAATCAAGGTGTTATTTGGTTTTCCCACTGTTTAGTTACTGTTTCTCTTCTTTTTTAAAAATAATTAATTAATTAATTAATTTTACCACGTTGGGTCTTCGTTGCTGAGCGCAGGCTTTCTCTAGTTGCGGTGAGTGGGGGCTGCTCTTCGTTGTGGTGCGCGGGCTTCTCATTGCGGTGGCTTCTCTCATTGCAGAGCATGGGCTCTAGACGCTCAGGCTTCAGTAGTTGTGGCTCACGAGCTCTAGAGCACAGACTCAGTAGTTGTGGCACATGGGCATAGTTGCTCCATGGCATGTGGGATCTTCCCAGACCAGGGCTCGAACCCATGTCCCCTGCATTGGCAGGTGGACTCTCAACCACTGCGCCACCGGAGAAGTCCCTGTTTTTTTTTTATGGAAGTAAGCAGATAAGTACTTTTTTCTTTTTAAGTACCCCCTTTTTCATACACAAAATGGAGCATACTATATATTTTATTTTGCACTTGCCTTTTTCCACTTAATCCTCGATTAGCTCTGTATCAGTTCATGGAAATCTTACTCAATCTTTTTTTTTTTTTAAACAGTTTCAGAATACTTCAACCAGTCTCTTATATTTGGTTATTTAAGTAAAGTAGCTGGCAGTATCTTGCAATTATAATGCTACAGTTAATAACCTTGTGCATGTATATTTTTGTATTTTTGGAGATGTATCTTTAGTGTAAATTCTTAGATGTGGAATTGCTGCATCTGAAATGTAAATGTATATTGGTTGCTGTGCAACAAAATACCATAAATTTAACTGCTTAAAACAACACATATTTATTATTTCATAGTTTCTGTGGGTCAAAAGTCTGGGCATGGCTTCACTGAGTTCTCTGTATAGGATCTTATAAGGCTGTAATCAAGATGTCTGCTGGGCTGTGTTCTGATCTAGAGGCTTGACTGTAGAAGCATTGACTTCCAAGCTCACTCAGGTTGTTGGCAGGATTTGTTTCATTATGGTTTCAAAGTAACCATGTTAAAGGAAACAATTAAGTGGCATTAGTACATTCACAGTATTGTGCATCCATCATCTCTGTATACTTCTAAAACGTTTTCATCAACCCAGAATAAATCCCATACCCATTAAACAGTTACTCGCCATTCTCTTCACCCCATTCCCCACCTTTGTCAGCAGTGTGACTAGATGTGGTTTTCTTTGTGTTTCTCCCACTTGAGGTTGGCTTTGCTTTTGGGGGTTTGAGTAGATATATATCACCGAATCAATAATTCTTTGCTCTTATCTCTTCACATGATTCTCCTGCCTTTTTCTCTATTTCTTTCTCTTAGCGTTGCCAGTTACATATATATTAAACTGTTTGCTATTGTCTCTCAGGTTTCAAGTGGCTCTTTTTCTACATTGCCCCTCCCCGTTAACTCATTTTTTATTTTAGTTGGGATAATTTCTATTGACTTCACTTGAACTTCACTGATTCTTTATTATGCCAGTCTGTTGATAAGCCCATTGAAAGACTTTAAAATATCTGTTTTATTTAGTGAGCCTTTAACATGTAATGGATGCTGATCCACCTTGTTTGAATACTTTTATGTCTGTGTGCCATGTAGATTGTCTTTAGCTGAATAAGTATGAAAATCACCCAATGTATTTCTGCTTGTGACCAGTAGTTTTTTGGCATGCTGTGCTGTAATTATGTTCTGAACACACAGTTGAAGAGATAATAGATTCGTTGTATACTTTTGATTTTTTTTAATCACTTAAAGCTTTCATAATTTTTATTCCATTGTTGATGAAGTCATGACACTACTGATGTTCAATTCTATAAATATTTCTTCAGTCAAGTGTATAGGGTTCTGGGTGTGAGACCCAGAAATAGCTCAGTAAGCGAGTAACTTTGGACGCCCCACAATTGAATTTATCATTATTTCAGCCATGTTGTCAGACTTAAAAAAGAAAAAAAAAGACGACTGCTTATTTCTGCATGTCCAGATATCTAATGCACAAGATTCGGATGTAGAATCGGTAATAATTCACTGCCTTTTTGTGTGTGCTCTGCAGATACGATTTAGAAAGAAGTTTTTTAGTGACATGTTTTTTCTAGAAAGAGGTTTATTCTTAGGCTTCAAAACTAGGCAGATTTCAAATATTCAACTACAGATATTTCAGATTTCAGATTTCAAATGCTTGACATATATAGTACTCACTTGACAAGCTTTTAATTTACATTTTTATTGTCCATAGGCTTTATTAATGCATTTTTATACTTTATTATGTCTGGATTGAAGATGATTTTCATAGATAAGATTTGACTCTTTTTCTTTTTTTGCATGTGTTAATCCATTGTTAGATATATGATTTGCAAATATTTTCTCCCATTCTGTAGGCTGTTTTTACTTTCTTGATAGTGTCTTTTGATGTACAAAATTTTATAATTTGAAGTCCAGCTTATCAGTTTTTTTCTTTTGTTACCTGTGCTTATCATACCATATCCATTAAATCATTGCCAAATCCAGTGTCATGAAGATTTTCCCCAATATTCTCTTCTAAGAGTTTTATAATTTTAGTTCTTAAGCTTAGGTATTTGGTCCATTTTGAGTTAATTTTTGTATATGGTATCAGGTAAGGGTCTGACTTTATTCTTTTACATGTGAATATCCAGTTTTCCCAGCACCATTTGTTAAAAAGACTGTCTTTCCCCCACATTGAATTGTCTTGGCACTGTCCTTGAAAATCAATTGACCATATGTGACGGTTTATTTCTGGACTCTCTATTCTATTCCATTGGTCTATGTGTCTGCCCTTTGCCAGTACCGTACTATTTAAATTTCTGTAACTTTGCAAGTTTTGAAGTCAGGAAGTGTGATTCGTACATTTTATTCTTTTTCAAGATTGTTTTGGCTATTTGGGGCTCCTTGCAATTCCATATGAATTTCAGAGTCAGTTTTTCCATTTCTGTGAAAGAGGCTATTGGAATATTGTTAGGGAGTGTGTTGAATAGGTAGATTGTTTTTGGTGTATTGATATCTTAATAATGTTAAATCTTCCTATCCATGAATACAGGATGTCTTTCCATTTATTTAGGTGTTCTTTAATATCTTTAAGCTTTGTTTTTTAGTTTTCAGTGTACAAGTTTTCAATGTAACACCTCCTTGTTTAGATTTATTCCTAAGTTTTAAATTCTTTTAGATGCTATTGTAAATGGAATTGTTTTCTTAATTTCCTTTTCTGATTGTTCATTGCTGATGTATAGAAACA